CAGCCCCACAAACTTAGCTACGTGTTGCATATTCGCTGTCTCTTATACACATCTAGATGTGTATAAGAGACAGATTCATATGAGCAAAACCAATTTGAGGCCGGGGGAACCTCACAATTCAACGGAGTACTGAGAAACATTACGTCACTGCACTTTACTGGCATATATGCCATGTCATGGAAACGCACCGAAATCTTTAATCTTCAATATCTCTCCTAGTTCTATTCCACTATCCTACTCCACGAACAGCCGGGCCGAGGTCCCACTAGCAAAAAGGATAGCATCGAGCTCCTGAATCTGGATGTGTTTTATGCAGAGATGCAGAAAAGCAGTTCAATCTCGATTTCCTGCACATCTCCATAACCTCTTCCAGATTCGGGCATTCGATCCGATCCTCTTTGCTAGTGGGACCACGCCCCTGATTCCGGCTAACTAGCCCTCAACCCAGACAATACCATCTACCTATTCTCTCTTCCTGAAAGGCGTACTTCGTTTTGTGTTCAAAAAATTATTCAAAAATGAAAAGAAGGGAAAAAGCGGAAGTCGTCCGCCGGCAACTCTACAACGCGAGTAGGCGGGAAGAATTTTCCAACTCAGCAACGCGCATTGGCCACACTACCGGCAGGACTTCGGTTGACGTAACGTATCTGACCGGAATTACGGCGAGGTTCAGTTTCAGAAGGCCCTAGCGTATGACCTTCGACTGTATGCACGTAAGAAGCGTGATGAGGAAATTGCAGACACGGCCTGACCGACTAACCAATAAGCTGTCAAGCAGGTTTTTTGACGTGTAACCCTCATCTCCCTCTCAATTGCCTACCGCCCCCCCTTCCCTCCCCCCCCTTTCTTTCGTGAGCACCATCGCCAGGTGCATCACGAGGAGGCTCTCCGACGGGTGATCTGTCGCGGAAGAAGGTGGTCTGCTATAGCTAGAGAAGAACGTCCGCCATCGCCGGAACTCCGCCATCGTCGGAAGATTAAGGTCCGCGATCGCCGGAAGTAGAAGGTCCGCGATCACGGGAAGAAGAAGGTCCGTCATCGGCCAACGAAGAAGTTCTGCCCTAGCCCGAGGACTTTTGCTGAATAATTAGGTTTGCAAGGTCTTCGCCTCATCCACAGATCAGTTCTGTGTGGGAAGCATGGCTGGGGGCGGCGGGTCGCCGCGTCGCGCTGGCTGTCCTTCGTGGAGGCTTGTCTTTATCTGTACAGTTGTGTGTGCCTGTATTTTCTCCTTCGACGCGGCGGCTGTGCAATTGACTATCGATAAATCGGAGTGCGTGTACGAGGATATTCAGGCTGAAGGGGACTTCATCACGGGTTCCTTCGTTGTGTATGGAAGCGAGCACGGGTGGGCTAGCGATGAACAGGGAATGGACGTACAGGCAAGGCTGCGTTTGCCTCTCTCACTCTTTATTATATGTATCATCTCCTTCCCTCCTCGCCCTTCCCTTTCCACTGTCCTGTCGGGACTTCACTGTCTGGGTCTTGGAGGATCACAGCTCTCGAATACATTTTTGGGAGTAATCAATCATAACACTTAGCCCTTTCTCGAGCGGATTCGTGCTCTCTCGCTTGAATGGCATCTTGTTTGATTGATTGAACGTTTGCTGACGTTCTCGATCGCTGTGTTTAATGTCTACTTGATAGATGCCTTTTGTAGGAGATGATGATGGATTGGGTGGGTGAAAGAAGAGTCCGTAAGTAATATATTGTTCGTTTGCTAGGGTAACTAGTAGCGTGATTGGATTGCTTGCTTCATGGGTTGTCGGATCGAGTGCGTGGTTAATAATA